GCTAGTGTTAGTTTTTTTTTTTTTTAAAGAAAACAAGCAGTTAGTAAATGAATAGAGTGCAAGTCTAAAAGGGGCAAGTTTTTTATTTTTTTATTTTTTAAGAATAGAATTAGAATAGAGAGTGCTAGAGTGAGAGGGTCAAATAAAGATGGAAGAGATGTGTTTTTAGATGATTCTTGAAGATGGTTAAGGACTCAGCTGCTGGGATTGAGTTGGGCAGGTCATTCCAGAGTCTGACTGGCTGAGAGGTCTTTAAAACAATGAGATTCACCTCCATGGGAACCGTTTCGCCGTTTGCATCACTCGTATTTCTCACAGCGAGCGTCATGGCCGACGACCGAATCCACTATAATTTTTAAGAATAATACTGTTTTTGTCACGGAATGTAGTTTTAAGAGATTTTTAGGTGAGAATGTACTTGTTTGGACTTCAAATATGCGGTTTTTTAATAAAGATACATTTACATTTAGTCATTTAGCAGACGCTTTTATCCAAAGACAGAGGTGTGACGTGCGTTCTTTTCGGCTCGTTAAAAATTAATCTTGCTGCCACGTTCTGGATTAATTGTAAAGGTTTGGCTGGAAGACCTGCCGAGAGAGCATTGCAATAGTCCAGCCTGGACAGAACAATCAGACCCGTCACCTTGACCTTTAGATATCTGTTTTGAGTAACCCACATCAGTCGAGCACAGAACCAGTGTCTTTTCTTGCTCAGATCTGAATAAATGAATGATTTTCTCTGTCCTGTTCAGGTGAGAAGAGGTTCGAGTGTCCGGAATGCTCCAAGAGGTTCATGCGGAGCGACCACCTGTCAAAGCACATCAAAACCCACCAGAACAAAAAAGGTGGGGCGGCACTTACCATCATCACCACAGATGAGATGGAGGAGGAGGTGGACGAGGTGCTGGGCTCGCCGAGGATCGTCACCGTGGCGACGCTTTCGCAGGATTCGAACCCGGCCACGCCCACCACTTCAAACAATTTAGAGGAGGAGTTCGAGTAGTTTTCCCTCCAAAAATGATCGGCTGAAAGCACCACGATATTGTTTGTAGGTTTGTTTATAGGTTGATTTGTTTATGTCCTTCTTTTTTTTTTTTCTATCAACGATGGACAGCTGTTTGAGCCCACTCGATTTTTCATATGGAAATGTAATACTATCAAATATTATGACAAAGAATAATCTAATGGAAATATGGAATAGTATGAGTTGTTAAGAGACAAGTTGAACGATGGCGTTTGTTTTGTTACGAGTAGCACAAGAAGTACTGAAGTTCCCAGATGCTCCTGAAGACGTCGCTATATGCACAAAAATAATATATATATATATGTTTTCAAAGTGGCTTCTATGGAAAGTCGTTTCCGCCACAAGATAAAAAAGAAAAAAGGTAATTATGATTTTTTTTAAATCTCACAATTCTGGCTTTTTTCTCGTAATTCTGTTTTTATTTTGCAATTCTGACTTTGTCCTTTGAATTCTAAGTTTAAATCTCGCAGTTCTAACTTTTTCTCACAATTCTTAATTTATATCTTGCAATTTTTACTTTTTTCTCACAATTCAGTTTATATTTTGCAATTTTTACTTTTTTCTCACAATTCTGTTTATATCTCACAATTTGTTATTTTTTTCTTTGAATTCTGAGTTTATATCTCGCAATTCTGACTTTGTCCTTTGAATTCTAAGTTTAAATCTCGCAGTTCTAACTTTTTCTCACAATTCTTAATTTATATCTTGCAATTTTTACTTTTTTCTCACAATTCAGTTTATATTTTGCAATTTTTACTTTTTTCTCACAATTCTGTTTATATCTCACAATTTGTTATTTTTTTCTTTGAATTCTGAGTTTATATCTCGCAATTCTGACTTTGTCCTTTGAATTCTAAGTTTAAATCTCGCAGTTCTAACTTTTTCTCACAATTCTTAATTTATATCTTGCAATTTTTACTTTTTTCTCACAATTCAGTTTATATTTTGCAATTTTTACTTTTTTCTCACAATTCTGTTTATATCTCACAATTTGTTATTTTTTTCTTTGAATTCTGAGTTTATATCTCGCAATTCTGACTTTTTCCTTTGAATTCCATGTTTACTTTTCGCAATTGTTTTTTTTTTTCTGCCATGGAGTAAAAAGATACTTTTTGCAAGATTCAGACTTTTTTCTCACAAATTGTGACTTTCATTCTTTGAATTCTGATTTATATACATATCGCAATTCTCACTTTTTTTTCCTTTAAATTCGGAGTTTGTATTTCAAATTTTTTTCCACCATGGAATAAAAAATAAAAAAAAGGTCATTTGCGACTTTTTATCTTGCAGTTCAGACTTTGAGAGTCTATATCGAGAGTTTATGTATCACAATTCTGAGTTTTTTCACAATAATAAATTATATTTTTGAATTAGACTTTTTTATTACAAGTGCAAAAACAAAAATCTGAATTGTGAGATGAAATCGCAGAATTGTGAGAAAAATAGTTTGAATTGTGATATAAACTCAGAATTGCGAGAAAAATATAAAAATTGTGAGATACAATGTAGAATTGCGAAAAAGGTCTGACTTGTGTTATAAACTTGAAATTGCGAGGAAAGGCAGTCTGAATTGTTCTATAAAAATTCGCAATTCATTAAAAAAAAATATTCTGTGGCGGAAACAAATTTTCGTAGGTTTCGGATCGAAACATGCAGTCGGGGATGAGAATCTCGGAGCTTCACGCGATTTGTCTGTGGTTTTGCGTACGATCAGGCTAGAAAGATGAGCACCTAACAGATTTTTAGTACACGATAAGAGTCGCAGCACAAGCTAGAAAGCGACGCCGTCTGTGATTGGAGCGTGTCGGGAAGCGTCAGCCAATCACGGCCTCGCGTACAGAACGCTTTAGAATTCAGGCATATATAATACTATAATCGACGATTCAGCAGTCAAACTTTTATGTAGGAGAAACGAGATTATAGAGACGGGCTATTTAAAGAAAAGCACATTAGATTTACAAATAATGCATTCCAGTTACGATTACTTTAGAAATAATAAAAAAAAGAAAATAAACGAGAAAGAAAACAATCTAGCTTTCCAAGACATGCTATGTTAAACGAAAGCAATACTATAAAGACAATCTTTACCATGTTTACATTACCGAGGGGTAGAATAGGTTTAAGAAAAACACCTGGAGAAGTTCTCTCTGATCTCAAGTCATATAAACTGTACTCTGATGCCTTAACAAACACTGCAGTACCACTATGTTACGGCTGGGCAGGGGAATGTGGGGCTTCGACTGTGTTTTCAGACATATTATTCGTGTGCAGGTGACCGCATTTAGCTTTTTATACGCAATGGCGAACACTGTGGGAGCGAGCGACTGTCCGCTTCGGCCCTCGTGAAGATCCCCCGACCCGCGTCGATGTGTCCTCCCGTCGCCCGTTGACTTTCTTGCGCTCTCCAAAGAGATTCGACCCACCGACTCCTCCAAACGCTCCCTCTGGACACGGCGGGGCGGGAAACGCACCCTGAAGCCACTTTATGATGAGTTTGATGTTGAGAATTCTGTGGCGTGGCGTTCTTATTCGTGACTTTCGTTTGGTTTGGTTTCGAGCCCGTTTTTCGTTCCCACACAGCACGATGCCGCCTGTGTGTATGCGTGTGCGCGCGCGTCTAATTTATTATTTATCCTTCTATTATTAGTATTTGCTAATGTGTATTGTGCGCTATTAATGCAGAGATGACGTGCCGCATGGTTCATTTCCGCTAACGATCTCTATTTAGTAACGATCTGTTATTTCTAAACGTGGTCATTTTAGAAGTAAAACCATGGCTTTTAATTTATCTGACGTTTCGCACCATGACGTGTTTCAAATGGAGAAAAAATAAAAGTTTAAAAAGAAATGGTTGATACCAAACAATAATAAATCGATGTTTTTTGGTAATATTTTCTGTGGCGAGCGATTTTCTTTAATATTTTCTAGTGACACCTCATTTGTAAATCATTTTTCTAAGATGTTCCTTTGTCCTCATGGCATTTGATAATGGGTTTTTTGCCAGGTTAGCCTGAAAGGCTGCAGTTTATTGATATTTTTAAAATAACTTTGTACAAACGTGTTATGTTAATGGGTAAAAAACAAAAAAAGAGGAAAAAGAAAAAACTTTGCCTGCATAAGAGCCCGTTTTTCGTTCCCACACAGCACGATGCCGCCTGTGTGTATGCGTGTGCGCGCGCGCGTCTAATTTATTATTTATCCTTCTATTATTAGTATTTGCTAATGTGTATTGTGCGCTATTAATGCAGAGATGACGTGCCGCATGGTTCATTTCCGCTAACGATCTCTATTTAGTAACGATCTGTTATTTCTAAACGTGGTCATTTTAGAAGTAAAACCATGGCTTTTAATTTATCTGACGTTTCGCACCATGACGTGTTTCAAATGGAGAAAAAATAAAAGTTTAAAAAGAAATGGTTGATACCAAACAATAATAAATCGATGTTTTTTGGTAATATTTTCTGTGGCGAGCATTTTCTTTAATATTTTCTAGTGACACCTCATTTGTAAATCATTTTTCTAAGATGTTCCTTTGTCCTCATGGCATTTGATAATGGGTTTTTTGCCAGGTTAGCCTGAAAGGCTGCAGTTTATTGATATTTTTAAAATAACTTTGTACAAACGTGTTATGTTAATGGGTAAAAAACAAAAAAAGAGGAAAAAGAAAAAACTTTGCCTGCATAACACTTGAAATTAAAGTGAGTAATTCTGTCTTAAAGATTTCATGTCTGTCTTATTCTTTATTCCAGTCTGTGCTGCCTTTTATTTACAGTGTGAGCTTTAGTATAAAACAACACTTTACTGTAACGTTCCATTTGTCAACATTAACTACCTACATTAGTTAACAATTTCAAATACTACTTAAAGGGGTAGGTGACCCAAAAATGAAAATTTGCTGATAATTCACTCATCCAAGATGTAGATGAGTTTGTTTCTTCATCAGATTTGGAGAAATGTAGCATTGCATCAGTGTCTCAGCAATGGATGCTCTGCAGTGAATGGGTGCCGTCAGAATGAGAGTCCAAACAGCTGATAAAAACATCACAATAATCCACAAGTAATCCACAGCACTCCAGTCCATCAGTTAATGTCTTGAGAAGACAAAAGCTGAAACAAATCCATCATTAAGAGGTTTAACTTTAAATATATATATATATAGTCTAAGAACATATTGCTAATGTTTCCATTAAGTTATGGAAACCGTTTTAAACATTTTTTTAAACATTCAAAATGTGTAGTTTTTCTTAATGTCTTAATGTTTTTTATGGTAATTTGAATGTTATGGGAAAATTCTGTTTTAGAATTTTGCAGAAAACATACTTTTAATGTTCTCTGAACATTCTGAAACTAGTAGTAACATTTTTTAAATGTTAGACGACGAGCATCCAACTAAAACATTTCTGTAAAGAAACATTCCTTGAATGATGTATAAGTAATGTTTTTGTGCTAATGTTTTAAAAACATTATTAGACACCAGTTAACTTTTACAAACATTCTAGTTAAACCAGTTAACATTCTATTAATGTTCATAACTTTGAGAGAAAGTTCCGTTAGATGGGACACAGTGGCACAGTATTACTGATATATTGAGGTCACAAGTGTATAGATTATTTGGTTTAGAATGTGGCTCAGCCAATCATAATCAAGGACTGGAATTGGCTGTTTTATCATTTTTCATTGAAGAAAGCGTTATTATGGACTGGTATTTAGCTGGAAGCAATGGTTTGAAGTTAAAAGTGTCTTGATGGATTTGTTTCAGCTTTTCACTTCTCATGGCATTAACTGATGGACTGGAGTGCTGTGGATTGCTTGTGGATTATTGTGATGTTTTTATCAGCTGTTTGACTCTCATTCTGACGGCACCCATTCACTGCAGAGCATCCATTGCTGAGACACTGATGCAATGCTACATTTCTCCAAATCTGATGAAGAAACAAACTCATCTACATCTCGGATGGCCTGAGGGTGATACTAGTGATCATACTTTGGATTGGAAATTTGTGCAAACCCCTAATACAAAGTAGTATATTCAAAAATGCTTGACGGATCATGTGACCAAACACCGCAGTCATCCTGAACAAACTGCAGAAGTTGTTCATCTCTGAGTGTGTGTGTGTGTGTGTGTGTGTGTGTGTGTGTGTGTGTGTGTGTGTGTGTGTGTGTGTGTGTGTGTGTGTGTGTGTGTGTGTGTGTGTGTGTGTGTGTGTGTGTGTGTGTGTGTGTGTGTGTGTGTGTGTGTGTGTGTGTGTGTGTGTGTGTGTGTGTGTGTGTGTGTGTGTGTGTGTGTGTGTGTGTGGAGTATTGAGTCGGTGATGGAGGGCAGGAGTGAGGGATGACGGTGTGGAGGTGGAGATGGTTCAGGTGGGCGGCTCTCTTTTGTTCTTTTCTCTGTTTGATTGACAGCTCTGTACCTGCAGTGCACCACCAAAGGGATGCTTTATCCACTTTAACAGCTGCTGTGTGTGTGTGTGTGTGTGTGTCTCACGCTCGCTCGATCTGCATGCAGACAGTAACGCAGCACCTGTCTCTTCACAGAAAGTATGTTCGTTCGACACGTCTCACCAGTTTGATGTTCATATTTCATACTGTAGGAATAAACAGATAATGAGATTCATAGATTCTGTGGCTGGGAATCCGGCCGCATCTGAAATAGGTCATACCAACCTGAGATGTTTACAATAATGTGTTTGTATGCAAATACAAATCACTTAGGAAAATTAACCATGGTTTTACTATTGTAAGAAGAGTAGTAACCATGTTTTTTTGTAGGCCTATTACCACAGTTTAACTAGTAATGTTTTTCTTTTTCTTTTGAGTAAAACTAACTCAGTTTTCGTAAGGGATGTTGCAGGTCAACAGAAAAGTAATAAATGCACACCTTAAGAGGACACATAGGATCAAGAGATACAGTTTTTACTGCTTTAGTATTAACAGAACGTCGGGTAGTTTCCCTGTACTAATCTAGATCAACTTTGAATAAAGAAAAGAGAGGGTTAAAGACAGTACATTTTTGTTTCTGTATGTAAAATTTAGCTAGCAGGAAACACAAATGAATTAAGTTCTATTTTCATATATTCTTTTTTTAAATAGTCAAACAATCCAAAGAAAGCATCTTTAAGTCACTTACAAAATGAGATTGTCTCTACCAATATCTAGCGACTGCAAAATGATCTCTAGCAATAATTTATCAAACAATTAAACGTCTGTTGTCTGCCGTTATGTCCCCACCAAAGCCAAAATCAAACCTACACCCTTAAATATTATGATCCACATCCGATTCATTTCTCAAGTTTGTTCGGTGATATTCACAGAGATATCCTGTATTTTGATATGATTTTTTACCATCTAATACACTTCCCTCCGTTCACACACACACTCGTACTAAACTAATTTGTTAAATTAATTAAATCTTAACACATCATATGATATTTTTTTTTTTAAATAACGGAGCATGTAAAATGTGAGATAAAAGGACCTTTATTTAAACTAATTTCCAATAAAAGGTTTTCAGAGAGAAAAACACAAATTGTGCAAATGAGAGAAAAGGCTCTGTAATCAGAAACATCTGTTACAGGATCTCATGATATCTCTGCCTTTAATTAGCAGGAGAACAGTATGATTCATTAAAACAAAATCAGTAAAAACAGTACAACATCACGAAGTATAAAAGTAAGGACTGGTTTGCATATCATTGCTGAACACTGATGGAAACTCTCAGTGTTTTCTTGCTCAACTTTAAAAGTGTCAGGAGTGAACGATCAGTCTGATTCCCATCAGGTCACGGATGATCGTCTTCACTCCACGTCCTTCTGCAGACTGACACACATACACATATACACACACACACACATAAACACACACACACAGAGCAGCATTAAACACAGCACTTGGTTTCATTTGACAGGAATTAACTACATGGTGAAATGTAAGAGACTTTATATGAAAACATAAACCAGAGTTTAACAAACTTGAGGAACTACAGGCGGCTTGTGACTTGTTAAAATCTCAGGGGACACTTTAAAGGGGTCATATGATGCGATTTCAAGTTTTCCTTTCTCTGTGGAGTGTTGCAAGCTGTTCGTGAATAGATAAGATCCCTAAAGTTGCAAAGACTAAAGTCTCAAACCCAAAGAGATATTCTTTATCAAAGTTAAGAGTCAGCCACGCCTTCCTAAAACGCCTCGTTCTAACACGCCCTATTTAGTAAGGGTTGTTCACCTCTCCAGATAGTCCCGGACGTTATCGTGTCCGAAGAATTTGGCGAGTCTGGTGAGAGCCCCGGTCGCACAGCGTCCATCCCGCTTACGACACAGACTGCAGTTACACACTCCTCGACAGATGGGACACTCCCACGACTGCGGGAACAGACACACAGACACACACACAAACACACACACGATCAGTGATTCAATGCTTCCAAAAGCCAGAAATCCAAAACTTCTTATGCAAAGTTCAATATTCCATATTGTCATGATCTTTCACCAAGAATTTTACATTTCATAAGGAAAATGCGTGTATAAAACATTAGGGCTGGGTTTTGACACAAATTTCATGATTCGATTCTCATTCACAAGCTTGCGATTCGATTTGATTACCGATTCGATTCGAATCAGTATCGATTATTTTGGATATATGTCAGGTACAGTACTTGCCAAATTTTCTCAAGGAAAAAAAAAAAAATCTCTTAACTAATGCTGTAAAATATACACGCGAGTCAGTTGGTACTACATTACTATAATATTGAAGGTTAAAATTAACTGATTTGTTAAAATTATGCTTAATGAAGTTTTTTAAATAATAAAGTTACAATTACATAATAATATTTCTACTTCAAATAGTTTGTTGAAATATAAACAATGGTGGCTGTCATAAAAACTTTTATTTAGATTTAATATTTGTTTAATATTTAGATTTGTTTTAGATTTATTCAAACATAAATTAAACATTGAAGAACAGTAAAATGTATAATGAATATGAAGTTTTTAAAATAATAAAGTTACAATTACATAATAATATTTCTACTTCAAATAGTTTGTTGAAATATAAACAATGGTGGCTGTCATAAAAACTTTTATTTAGATTTAATATTTGTTTAATATTTAGATTTGTTTTAGATTTATTCAAACATAAATTAAACATTGAAGAACAGTAAAATGTATAATGAATATGTTATATGGTGCATATATTTAGCAAATATATTTTTTACCCAGCCCTATAAAACATGGCAGTGGCTTCTGCGTGTTGCTCGAAATTTAATCCTCAAATGTAAGAGTTTGGTTAAACCAGTGGTATTTTAGTATTATATATATAAACTATTATAGTATTTATACTTTGAATCAGCTTTATAAGATTTAAATTAATTGGATTTTTGTATTTTCAGTTTTCATTTTAACATTAGTCTTTTTTTTATTTCTATTAGGTTTTTTTCTATTTATTTTGCTTTATTTTTATGTCAGTTTTCAACTCAAATGAAAATGAGAACGGTTGCTGTGGCGACGAACTGAAATAAGTTGAAGTTTTTCATCTAACATTTATATTTTATTTCATTTATTAGTTGAAATAGCTATTTTTATTTTCCTTTTTTTTTTTAAATGTCTTTCACTTTATTAGTAAAATTTTTTAGATATTATAGTTTTTTTATTTATTAGTTTGTTTTTTCATATTTAGTTGCCACAGCAACCCTTCTAATTTTTTTTTTAGTTTCTCATCTAAGATTATATTTTATTTTTCATTTAATAATCAAGATTTTTTTTTTAAATGTCTCCTTCACTTTCTTTATTTCAGTTAATTATTCAGTTAATTTTTTTTATATTTTATTTAGCTTTCTTTTAAATTCAGTTTTAGTAATTTTAGTACTTTAACTTATTTCATTTATTTGCTACAGTAGCAATTTCTCATTTTTATTTTAGTGAGTTATTTTTAGATTTTTTTATATTTCCATTTAGGTTGAATTTCTTTTAAATTTTAGTTCATTGCAATGGCAATATTTTTAATTTTAGTTTCATTAAAGTTTTTCATCTAATATTTTTATTTTATTTTTATGTCTATTTTGCTTTATTTTAGTTTATTAAAGTTATTTTTAGATTACTTATTAGTCTTTGTTTTTTAATGTTTTTAATTAGTTTTTTTAATTTTTTTGTTTTAGTAATTCTAGTACTTAAATCTTAATTTCAGTTACCTTCCAGAGCAAGATTTCTTATTTTCGTGTAAGTTTTTCAATTGTATATTTATTTTATTATATGTGACCCTGGACCACAAAACCAGTCATAACGGTCAATTTATTGAAATAAATAATCTTTCCATTGATGTATGGTTTGTTAGGATAGGACAATATTTGGCTGAGATACAACTATTTGAAAATCTGGAATCTGAGGGTGCAAAAAAAATCTAAATATTGAGAAAATCGCCTTTAAAGTTGTCCAGATGAAGTTCTTAGCAATGCATATTACTAATCAAAAATTAAGTTTTGATATATTTACGGTAGGACATTTACAAAATATCTTCATGGAACATGATCTTTACTTAATATCCTAATGATTTTTGGCATAAAAGAAAAATGGATAATTTTGACCCATACAATGTATTGTTGGCTATTGCTACAAATATACCCCAGCGACTTAAGACTGCTTTTGTGCTCCAGAGTCACATATCTCAGTTTTATGTAAACAGAAATAATTGTTAATAGCTGTAGGTGACTTACGGGATCGAGCAGCGCGGCGCGGACGTCTTCTCCGTAGCGGTTGCGTAAGCAGGGGCCGCAGAACTGACCTTTGACCCCTCCGCAGTACAGGCCCCTGCACTCAGTCTTGGTGTCGAGGGTCTTCTGCCGGCACTGGTGACACGTGCTGCCCTGAGATCATTAATAAACGCATTAATAAACCTCTCAATCCACACACAGGCCACGCCGCAGCCCTCGGCACTCACGTTCTCCTTGTCCAGGATCTTGTCTTTGGCGCGATCGGCGACGTTCTCCAGCTCTTCTTCAGTGATGTCCTCCGGCATTCGTATGGACTCCTGCGAGCGACACTTCCTCTGCTTCGGCCGGGCGTCTCCCGGACCCTCCTTCACCTGCAGCCATACCACGTCAGACCCGTGAAGAAAACACCACACACACACACACACACACACACACACACACACAGTGGAGGAGGAACCTTTCAGTTTGACTTCTTCAACTCAGGAATTAATAATGCACCAAAAATATACATTTTAGTACTTCAACTTATTCAAGTTCATGTTTTTCATCTAATATTTATTTATTAGTTTAAATAGTTTAGTTATTTTTAATTCTTTTTTTAATTTATTTTTTTCGGTTTACATTTTTTATTTCAGGTTATTAGTTGAATTACTAAATCAAAAAAAAAAAAAGTACATAAATGATATTTTAGGTGCTGTCTCTAAAGTAAGTTCAGATGAAACGGGTTCAGTGATCTGTGTCTCTTGCCTCCATCAGCCGCTTGATGTCGATCGCTCCGCTCTCTCTCTTCGGAGGAGCCGGGTTTTCCTCCACCTCTTTCCCGAAATGCTCCGGGGGTCTGGCCTTGCGGCCCGGGTTTCGTCTCTCGACCTGAACCTCTGAAAAACACCGTTTCGGGGTGGACTGCTTCTTTCTCTTCTATCCAGGGCACAGAAAGACCATCAGTATAAAGTAAACGTCGTTGAACTGGTTAGATATGAAGAGAAAGCAGAGCATTGGTGCAGGGGATTGTGGGATCTCACCGTAGGTGTCGTCTTAGAAGGAAGCTCAGGCAAAGAACTCAAGTCTGCAAAAAGTTTTGCAAGCTGCAGGAAAAGAGTTTAAGTTAACGTAAACATCCAAGATATTATGAAAGAATAGATTAAACAAACAGAATTTGCATTAATATTATATTAGAATGAATAAATGTTGCAAATACATGACAATACTGCTATAAATTAATATTATACTTAATATCATATTAAATATTACAAATATAAATGAAGACTGTTTTTAATTAATATATTTTAAACATATATTAGAAACAACATTTAAAAAAATAGTTATTATTATATATTATTACTATTAAAAATGAAAATATGCTGTTATGAACTATATCTGATAAAAATTTTATTACAAATATAATTTAAAAAAAAGTTAAAACAGAAAATTATTATTAGTTACAAATATGAAAAATGCTCTTTTGAATTGTATTTTATTAGAAAAACCTTTTAAAACAAAATTAAAGAAAAAAATATTAGTATTGGTTACAAATACATATGCTGTTTTGCATTGTATTATATTTTTATAAATTATATTATTTTAAAACAATTAATTAAAAATGTAAAAATATTTGACAAAAATGCTGTTTTGAATTAGATTTTATTTTTAAAAAATATATTTAAAAAATACATATTTTAAAACAAATTTGAAGTAAAATTGTATTAAGTACAAATACATATGAAAAAATGCTGTTTTGAGTTATATTTTTATTTTTAAAAAATTTGAGAACATTTCCAGCAAATTTGGGTGAACTACTCCTTTAACCCAAACTGAGCAGATATTCCCAGACATTATAACTGTACGTGGGTTTTTTTGTCATATTTACCACCGGTTTTCTCCAGTCACACTCGTCCGCAGAGAATCCCTCGAACTCGCCCTCGCTCTCGGTGTCCATGAAGGCCTGCGCCAGCTCATCGGCATCAACATCCTGACACAGAGAGAGTGACAAAACACATTATTATTATTATTATTCTTGGATTGTGCGAAAACCATCTCAATTATTAATAGCGCTGTTTTGCAGCTACTGCCGAATCATCAGCGGTAAACGGTGTGAAGGAGACCTGCCGTGCTCTTGGATTTTCTCCAGTGTATTTATATTTCTGATACGAACTCAGAAATGCAAATGAATGACGGCTCTGTCTCAATCAGAGGAGACGAGGCATCTTAACTTGTGATTTAAAAGCATTGCTTATAAGAAGTAAAGCAACTCTTTTGGACACATGACAGTCTCTGGTTTCCTCACAACAGACGGAGGAGATCTGGAGACTGACAGAGCTAAAAAACATCCACTAGATCACTCATCCAATAACATCTGGAGCACTACAACACAGAAAACCAGGGTCAAACTTCAAACTTGAAAAGTGGTTTTGAACTTCTTTTTTAGTTAATATTGATTTTATTTCAAGTAACATGGTTTTATATTACAAAGTAAATTATAAAAATATATACATTATTTTGTGTGTGTGTGTGTATATATATATATATATATAATAGACATTAAAAAAATAAAAAAAGAATAAACAAAATCAATTGTAAAAATGTTTTCTCTTTTTTTCAGTTAACATTTATTTCAAGTAAAAATATTTAGATTTTACGTTTAGCTGAAAAAATGAATGCATTCAAAAAAAATTACTAAAACTTAGTTAGGTCAAAAATTAAAAACACCCTAAAATTAAAGCAAAAACAGAATATATATATATATATATATATAAACAATCAAGTCTGAAATAGTAATAAAAACGATTACGGTTTAAAACTAAACTGTTTTTGGTTTTTGACATACAACAGCACACTTTGTGTTTTCATATCTTCAGGAAAAGAATATGCACACATAAAAGTAAATATTCTCTGGCAAATTGGTTCCAGATGTTAATAATGAATCATCAATAATAATTTGCATTAATTTCTGACACTGTAGATGATACTAACAGACTTCCCGGATCCCTTTGATTGGATGCTGTCTCTGCTGTCCTCAGACAGATCGGTTACTTCCAGCTGCTTTGCCTGAAAGCAAGAGGTTTATTAGAGCAAACATTAAATACATAAAATTATTTTATATATATAATAATAAACTATTATTGATAATAATAATAATAATAATAACAAGAACAACCAATGCATTATTATAATTACTATTACTACTGTTAACATTAATAATAATAATAATATACATTGCATAAAAAATGATTAATATTACATTTTTTGTATTAATATTATAATGCCCTATAACAACAACAACAAATATTGTTATTAACTTGGTGCAGACATCAAAAGATAGCCATAACTTCAAAACAAAGATCTGAATTTCTAGAAAAAACGCAAGTTAAAAGTGGTTTTAGGATGCATCATCATGAACACTGCAGACTTTACTACATTTTCTGATGATCAGCTTCTGTGTCTCATTAAATATGCATTTAAGCACGTTTTAAAACGACGAGCATTGCTATTATCTTTCTGCATGTAAGTGTGTGCATGCATTTACTCAACTCTCGATACTTAAAGGACATTTTTAAACGGAAAACACTCCTTGTCGCTCTTACCTTCAAGGATGCTCTGCGTGTTTTGATCATTTTAAGAATTAAACGTGTGTGATTAAAACTCTTTAATGAATGAAAGATTTAAAAAACAACAGGAGCGGACAGGAAGCTGTGAGAAAACGGAGGGGTGATTGCGTGCCGAGTCCGTCACTAAAGAGGCCATCAGCTCACTTTGAATTTGTTATTATTGACATAATACCTATTACATACTGTACTTATAAACAGGTGATAGACTATACAAAAAAAAGTCTCCGTTTTTTACTTTAATGTGAGACTTAACGCTACCGGTTCCCCCCGCGATCGCGCCTGCGGTCTGAATGGAACAGTCCAGAATGCGGCGCTTTGCAGTTTCGCGGGAAATGCCTCACGCCGGACACAATCATTCACTCAATGCGTGCACAGGCAGCTATAAAGTGTGTCTTTCATTTATAAACGCAGTTAAATAGACCTTCAGAGGCCTGTTGATGATATTAGTCTACATAACAACTATAACATCGCTCCACAGAGCCAGAAAACTAGTTTGACAGAATATATGTGACCCTGGAGCACAAAACCAGTCATAAGGGTGCATTTTTTGATAATTGAGATTTATACAACATATGAAAGCTGAATAAATAAGCTTTCCATTGATGTATGGTTTGTTAGGATAGGACTATATTTGGCCGAGATACAACTATTTGAAAATCTGGAATCTGAGGGTGCAAAAAACTCAAAATATTGAGAAAATCATCTTTAAAGTTGTTCAAATGAAGTTCTTAGCAATGCATATT